CCACCAGGTAGCTCACCACCAAGCAGCTCATCAAGGTAGCTCACCACAAGGCGGTTCGCCACCAGGTAGCTTACCACCAAGCAGCTCATCAAGGTACTTTGCCACCAGGCAGTTCGCCACAAGGCAGCTCACCACCAGGCAGTTCGCCACTAGGTAGCTCGCCACCAGACAGCTTGCCACTAGGGAGGTCCACTTCAGCCTCTGAGTCACTGGCCACTTGAGAGCAGACGAGATGACGAGGTACTTAGACAAAAAATCGACACATCACAAAAAAATGATACGTAACCGGAATCGGTTACATCAATTGTCATTTGAGATGGAGATCACCTGTTTTTCCTTCAAAATGATAATGAAATATAAATCACAATGTGACAACCATTATTTAGGAGAATATAGATACAATGTGGATTGTAGATATACAAATAGTTTATAATTTGTAGGCAATTATAATGAGAATAAAAGGAACAATAGAACATGTTAATAAAACTTGGCCTTCAAAGCCAACAATCATACTGGAAAATTGAGTAATACAATTACATTTGATCACAGTTAACTCATGATAACCACAGAAAAACATAGTTTTTTGGTTTCAATGAAAATTTAGGTTATTTTTTGTTAAGCTATTGCATATTGTTTAGTTTTTTGATGTATAGTTGTTCTTTCTATATTGGCCATTTTGGTCGAACAGGAATCTAGAGAAAACATTTTTTGATGTACAAGTGTTCTTTTTTTATTGGACATCTTAGTCAAACAGGATTGTAGGGAAATATAAAAAAAATACCACATATACTGATAGACTATATCTGTTGGTATATCCTGAACCTATACCGACGGACTACCTCTGTTGGTATATCCTGCACCTATACCGGTGAACTACTTCTGTTGGTATTGGTATAAAGTGTACCTATATCGACGGATGAATTCGTCGGTATAGCAAAATATGCCATACCCCATACCTATGATGTACACCGATGGATAGCTTGACCGACAGTTTAGAAAGTCATCGGTATAGGTGTCTACACCTTATACTGACAGATAAAATCCATTGGTATAGGTTTATATCGACGATCTCTTACTGGACGCATTAGTTGATCGTCGGAGTAGATCATTTAGAGCTTTACCAATGGATTATATACATATACTGACGGATTTGGTCGGTATATGGCATATTTCCTATAGTGGGAGAAGAATCTTGGGTTAAATTTTAGGGGTAGATATTTTAGGAGGTCTTAGGTTTGATGACGATGTTCAAGGGATTTTAGGTACTTCGAAGGGATCAGAATGGTTTGATCAAGTGCTTGGAGTAAATTGGGGCTTCGAGAGTGAATTGAACAAAAATTAAGTACTAATGAACTGAAACTAACTAGAAAATACTAGAAAACCAACCAATTCAAGTGAAGTTAGGTCGAGTTGGTTGGTTTCATCGATTTCATCAGTTTGATGAACCATCTTAGCTAAAATTAATTATTGTTATTTTTGTATTATAAAAAATTATGAAAAATATTATATAAAATATAAATAATTATTAATTATTTAAAAATCAAAATATAAAACAATTATATACTTTTATCTATTTGTATTGTTTAGCTTTCACTTAACAAAGCCCGTACATCGCACGGGTCCCCTCTAATTGTAATGAAAGAAAGAGAAATAACAGGCAAATGTGAAGCTTTCTTGCAAATGGAATTCTTCCTATCTATAGTATACAATCGTTCGCTAATGACGTCTGTCCATGGCTAGAGTTTTGTGTGCACGGTGCACCAATTTTTTTTTATTTGTTTCTTCTATCCTATTCTCTCAGACTAATTGTTCAAACTGTCATAGTAGTTAATTTTCTCATCTTAATTATTTATTTTATGTTTGAAACTGTGCTTTTAAAACCGGACTGGACTGGAAAAACTGGGAACCGGTCACCCGACGGGTTCCATTTCACCCAAAAATTGCTTTTTGGCCCAAAACCATTAATTTGGTACACAAACCATTGACCCGGGTGGTCAAACTGGATGATGGTTTTTGGCTATTTTTTTATTTTTTTTAAGTTTTTTATTTTTTTGTCAAAACGGCTAATCTGTTTACTGGACCAGAAAAACTGGGAACCGGTCACCCGACGGGTTCCATTTCACCCAAAAATCGCTTTTTGGCCCAAAATCATTAATTTGGTCAACAAACCATTGACCCGGGTGGTCAAACCGGATGATGGTTTTTGGCTATTTTTTGATTTTTTTTTTAAGTTTTTTATTTTTTTGTCAAAACGGCTAATCTGTTTGGACCGAATGGTCAGATCATTCAACCTGCGAACCGGACCCAGAACAGTTCCTTGTCCGGTTTGGTTTTAAAAACCTTGGTTTGAAAAATTAAGAGATAGAGAAACTAATGGGCCAAGCTGGTCCGTTAAATAGCTCACATGTAAAATGTAAACTGAGGTGCCATGTGAATTCTCCCCCTGTTCCTATCCGATTTAAGTGCAACCCGGTACACATGAAAGCGAGTGCAGGAAATCTGAACTCTAAGTAACTTTACCCAAAACTGCATGGGATAAGCAAGTTAGTAGGTAAACTTGAAAGAAAGCTTGGTGTTTGACCCAAGGAGCTACAGGTAATTTACTCCGATTTTTATTTATTTATATTAATTTGTTTGGTCGTGATTGGTGCAAATGCGAATACAATTTTGTTGTTGCTTTTATTATGACAATTACAAAAAAAAAAAAGAGGCTTTTGGTCTCCTTTCCAGATATTTAGCTCTCGTGTAAAATTTACTTTGATTTTTGAAAACAAACTTTCTTCCATTCTGAATGCGAAAATGATAGGTGTAAATTTTCTTCATATCCATGCAAAAACACTCTTACCAAACAACCACAACTCCACAAGACTGAAAGTGCAAATTCACTTCGGTTCTGCATTTGCACTCTTGCCGAACAGAGCCTATATCTCACTTTATTTGTAAAGCAATTTCTTTTGAACTAGTACACAAGTAATGGAAAGTGAAAGTTTTATTTCATCTAAATTACAAACAAACAAAACAAAATAAGACCTATTTAATGTAAACCAAAATTTGCACCTCCTAGCTACTTCCACACCAGTGCAAATGAAATTAAACAGGAAACAAATTAGGCCTAAATTACAAAGACACCCCCCCGCCTACCAAAAAAACAAACTACAAGGGCACCCCCTACCAAAAAATAGATCTGATTAACAAAATATTATAACTAATAAAATGGGAAGATAGAACACAGACTCCACGCCAACATGCCATAGATAACAAACTCTGTTAATTCACCTTACTACAATCACGACGAATTTCACCCTGTCTTGTAGTCTTAACTCCCACCCTTCCAAGCTTGGTGATGGCAGTAACAAAAGCTTCGTAGAATGCTGTGGTGTTTGATGCAAAGAGATTAACAGTGTCCCTTGATCTAGGATCCGTATAGAGTGACTGATCAGAAGTGAATAAACCCATCCCTTTCTGAAGGTTCTTGTAGTAGGCATTGTCAAATATCTGAGGCGTGGCTTGGTCCATTTGAACGGCAATCCTGGAGTCCACATTCATGGGGCATATCGCTTGGAGCTGCCTAGCGTAATTCCAGTTGAGTGTTGGGTCAAGATTACTAGAGCGGCTGAATTTGTAAAGCCTGTTCATGAATTTGCTGCAGTGAGCAAACCCAATTGTGTGCCCTCCTGGAAAAAACGTGATTCAGTTCGGTAACTGGAAACAGACAGAAGAAATTGGATGCAAAAAAGTTCATATTGTTTTCAATTGGTACCTGACAGTGCGATCATATCTGTCTGAGTAAGACCGTGCCAGCTGAACAGGGCGTTGAGCTGGTCTAAATTGAAATAAGGTTTAGGAAGATTGTGCTGAACACTTGCCTTGGTTGATATCCTCCCATCTAGCCTTCCAACTTCAACTTTATAAGATGGTCCTCCTGTCTGCATTAAAAATGCAAGAGAAAGAAGAATAGACAGTAGTTGATTTTTCAGTATAATCAAATCCAAATGTAGTAGACATGACAAGGTCAGCTTGATAGTTTAATTGATTAATTACCAAGGCTATCACATCTCTAGTGGCCAAGGCCAGTATATCAGCACATGAGACCTTATTGGTGCACATAGGATCCTGATCAACAGCAGCTTTTGCTTTGGCCACTGTGTCGAATCCATCTCCTGCAAGTGAAATGTCGTCAGGGTGATCCATCTCCGCATTATGACTGGGTGAGTAAAGAAGCACCGAAGCATCACACCCCTAACAAGAAGAAAATGCCAATTGCATAAATGAATAAATGAATCAATCTAACAAGACTCCAAGGATAGTAGTCATCGTACCTTCACAAAGCAATCATGGAAGAAGAGTCTGAGAGTAGCTGGGGCAGTCACAAAGGTCTGCAGGAACTTCTGCGTAACTGCTGTGCGTACATATTGTTCAACATTGGGGCAGATGTCTTTGTAATAATCTGTTCGAAGCTGAGCAGAAGCTGTGGCAAGAAGAGTAAGAGCAAGGATTGACAGAGCAAAGAGTCTGTGATGCTCCATTCTTTCCGTTCTTCACTTTTCGTAATTGCTACCGAGATAAACAAGGTTTATAGGAGTGAAGATGAATGAGAGAATGTGAACTCGATCGCTCTTCTCAAATCTCAAGAACATTGACTGTAGAAAAATAATTCTGTAAGACTGAGTTTGAAGTGGGCAGATTTTAAATGTAATATTGTTCATTACCCATTCGAGCTTGAAGGTTATTATTATATTATATACAACTGCAATTGTTTAAAGAATGCGAGTTGACAAGATCAGTAGAAAATTAATTGAGTTTTACGAGAGTGAAGGGAAGTTAATGAATCTCTGCCTTCGATGAAAAAGGGAAAGAAAAAATATAATGCGTGTAAAACAGGCTAATTAAACAATTACGCGTGAACATGTCAATGTTCGATACGTATGTATGGAGTCACATATGGTATGGGTCACTTGGGAATTGGGGTATGCTGCTTAAATCATTACATCTACGTGTGGCAATTTTCTCGTTCTTAAACGGGTGCCCCGCCCTGCCCTGAACGGGGCTGGTTTTCCCGTCCTTAAGCGGGGGGGGGGATGGAGGTAGGGGTGTTAATTGGACTGGATTTGGTCAAATCCGGTCCAGTCCAATGTGAGTCCATTATAAATGGATCAGGTCCAATTCAGTCCAATTCAATCCAATGAATGTTTTGGACTAATTTGGACCGGTTCAATTCAATGTCTAGACCGTCCAATCTGTTCAAATTCATTTTGATTTACATTGGTTTCTGATGGAGGGTGATTTGACCCGACTTCCTAACTAAGGGACATGTGGATATGACTTGACGTAAGTGACAGTTCAGCATGACAGCCTGGCCACAACTCGGCGTAATGAGCTTGCTGAAACTCCAGCAGAACAGCCCGTCACGAGACAGCTCGCTACAGTTCGTTACAGAACGGCTTACTGCAATGCAGCTCGCTATTGGAGCTCGCTACAAAGGAGCTCGCTACTGAGTAAACCGGAGCCTTCGGGAAACTTCTTATCCGACAAGACCGTGCTTGTCAGACTACTTCCACGTCTCTTGTCTGGCGACGCAGCACCTGCCAGTCCAAAGGACTGCACCCACGTCTCACGTCAGGCGGCGTGGTCGTACACGCCAGCTCTGCATAACGTCTCTCAAGTGACAGGATTGTACCCTGTGATGGATACCTGCGCCAATCAAATCAGCCTGACGAATAACGGCTGTAGCAGAGAATCCGAGGTGGTTACACCCGATTTGGCAGCGCATTAATATATAAGAGCTCCGACCCCCAAGGAAAAAGGTAATTGAATTTTTGGTAATGCGCATCTCCACTCTTAGCTCGTCATTACTCTCTAAGCTTCTCTCTCAGAGTTCTAACTTAAGCATTGGAGTGTTCCCGTCGAGCGAGCTCCCCAGGAATCCTTCATCTTCTCTTTCTCAGGTGCTGTCCGTAGCTAGCTAGGACCGAGTCCCCTGCCAGCTAGGAGTGACCAGATTGCACTACATCAGTTGGCACCGTCTGTGGGAACGCTTCAAAAAGCCTTCCACCAAAACTTTGTAGACTTCAGTTCTCATGGCTTCCTCTAGTAACGCAGCATGCAGTGCAGAAATGAGCACCGTCGGGGAGCAACTCCAAGTCCCAGCGGTGTGTATTGGACAGTTCACCGTCCCACTCTCTGCGGATGGAGTTCCCATTCTGAACGTGCCTCAAACAATGGCACCCGTGAATGCTCCACTCCCTTTCACAGTTGGAACAGCCTTCACCGAACCATCCCTTGTTCCTCCCGTGACAGCCCAAAACCAGCTTGAAGACCTAGTGCAATGCATGCGAGCTATGCAAGCTCAGATGCAACAAGTTCAGCAATTCCAACTATATCAGCAGCAAGTGCTGCACCAAGTATCTCAGCATCACTATCAGCAGTAGTTTCCTCCGCTGCCTCATACCCAGCAGCCCCTTCCTCCTCGACATCCGGCCGTGCAACAAGTTCGGCCTCGCCGTCAGAACGAGTGTCCTTCTCACCGAGGAAGGAAAGATCAATCACCCCTGCCTCGCCGCACGCAGTCAGGTCGGGAGGGTGCCAACCTACCAGGCCCGCATCGCCTCAGCTTTCTGAGTTCGTGGCCCCGCTTGTGGAGAACCGGTTTGAGGTCTTAGCTGCAGACTCCAAGCAAGATCCCTCTATCCGCAACCATCACCAGCAGTCCGTCCCCCTCCCTACGAAAACTGTGCCCAATAATACCGCGGCCAGCAACACCAATGCGGAGCCCGCAAAAAAGCAGCGGAGACATCGCCGAGCTCGCCGAACTACAACACACAACCTGCCTAAGCTCAAGGGTAAGGAAGAGGTAAGTTCGGGTGAAATAAAAGCCACTCCGCTCCTCTTTGTACCATCCCCTCTGTCTCTAGAACTCTTGGCCATCCCAATGCCCAAGGACTTCAAACTACCTCCCCTGGACAAGTATGACGGATCATTTGACCCAAATGATCATGTAGACGTCTTTCAGTCATAGATGCACTTGGCAAGGGCCAATGAGTCCTGCATGTGTGTGGCTTTCTCCACCACTTTCAAAGGAGTGGCCCGTACATGGTACAGGAACCTCGCTCCCGGATCAATAAGAAGATGGGCGCAATTCGTGCAAGTCTTCACTTCTCACTTCGTCACCAGCAAGCGGTGCCCGAGGACCAAGGAGAGCCTCCTTGGCATAGTCCAGAGGGAAGGAGAATCTATCCGAAGTTAAATCAAGCGGTTCAACGACGCTTGTTTACAGATATCCAACTTGGAGCCCACAGTTCGGCTTACCTCGGCCAAGAGAGGCATCACGCACAAAGACTTCAAGTGGCACGTGATTGTAAATCGGCCCAAGACGGTAACCGAGTTCCTCAAGCTCGTGGACTAGTTTATAGGGACAGAGGAGGAAATCAACTAGAAGGGTGAGCAGATCCTTGAAAAAAAAAAAAAGAGAAGCCAAGCCCTCGACCCAGGGGGACAGCAAGAAGAAGAAAAACCTAGCTCGGGGGGCAAGGCCAGGTCAGCCTTTCCAAGCTCCACCAGCAGAGAGGACATACTACACGCCCTTGAACGCGGAGTAGGCCGAGATCCTTATGGCGATCAAGGATGCCCCGTACGTGAAGTGGCCACCCTGGCTGAAAGGGGACCCTAATGTAAGGAATAAAAAGTTGTATTGTAGCTTCCATAAAGATCTTGGTCATAGTACCGAGAGTTGTAAAAACCTCCACGACGAGATAGAGGAGCTCATCTGTTGTGGATACTTAAAAAATTTTGTATAGAATAATAATAATAAAGCAAGTCGGTAGGGGGAGCAAAGCAGAGACGCTCCCGAATTCAACAGGCAAGCAGGTGCAGCCGTAGAGGCAGCCCCCAGAAGAGAGACCAGTTCGGGGGACTATCCATGTGATCGTCGGAGGATTGATCGTCGCGGGCTGCACCTCGGCTGTAGCTCGGACATCAGCTCGCGAGATTGAAAAGGAAGACCAGAACCCCCCGAAGCGGCCAAGAACGGAAGACCCGATCTTCTTCCCGGAGGAGGACGCGCATGGGGTCCACTACCCCCACGATGATGCACTCACCGTGAAAATAAGGATCAATGACTTCGAAGTCAAGCGTGTCCTCGTCGATTTCGGCAGTTCGGCGGACATTCTTTTTAAGGTGGCGTTTGACAAGCTTCAGCTCCAAGAAGGTGATCTTAAGCCCGCAAATACTCCCTTGGTGGGCTTCAGCAGAGAGGAAGTCAGGCCCCTGGGGAGAATCACTATACCTATGGAGGTCGACACCTGGCCTACTATAGTGAGGCTCAACCATGACTTCTTGGTGGTCGCGACTCCCTCCCCGTATAATGCCATAATAGGTCGGCCCATCACCCACGCCCTACGTGCGGTGGTCTCCACCTACTATCTGGCGATGAAGTTCCCCACGGACTTCGGAGTTGGGGTGGCGCGAGGNCTTCGGAGTTGGGGTGGCGCGAGGCGATCAGCTTGAGTCTCGCAAGTGCTACTTCACCGCCTCAAAGGGAAAGCCAAGGTGGTAGACGACCTCGAGCTGGAGCGACCTGCGGAGCAGTGCGAGGAGTGAGCTGCACCCACAGAAGATACTGTCTCCGTCCTGACTTCGATAGAGGACCCAACTCGGACACTCCAGATTGGTGCTTCAATCGATCCTCTGCAATCCCAACTAGAAAGTTTTTTACTTGAAAATTTAGATGTTTTTGCATGGTCCGCAACAGAGATGCCCGGCATAGACCCTAGCATCATCACTCACAAGCTGAATATTGATCCTGTAATTAGGCCCGTTAGATAGAAGAAGTGCAACTTATCCCTAGAGCGTTGGAGAGCAGTTGGCGAGGAGGTTGGGAAGCTCCTCGCAGCCGACTTTATCAGGGAAGTCCATTACCCGAGCTGGGTGGCCAACCCCCGTTCTGGTCAAAAAGGCTAATGGTAAATGGTGTATGTGCATCAATTATATTGACCTGAATCGAGCTTGCCCAAAGGACTGCTTCCCACTCCCCAGGGTCGACTGTTTGGTGGACGCGACCTTAGGGCATGAGTTGCTGAGTTTCTTAGACACCTATTCGGGCTATAACCAGATCAGGATGGACCCTACTAACGAAGAAAATACAGCCTTCATAACCGAGCTCGGCCTGTACTGCTACAAGGTCATGCCCTTCGGACTGAAAAATTCCGGGGCAACATTCCAGAGACTTGTAAATAAATTGTTTGAGTCGTTGATTGGCAAGAAAATAGAATGTTATGTAGATGACATGGTCGTCAAGACTTAGTTTTCAAATGATTTAATACAAGACTTGCATTATGTTTTTGAAACTCTACATAAGTTTAACATGAAGCTAAATCCAAATAAGTGTGTCTTCGGTGTCACCTCGGGTAAATTCCTAGGGTACATCGTCTACCAGCGTGGCATTGAGGCCAACCCAGAAAAAATTAAGGCCATCCTAGATATGAGACCACCCCGAAAATTGAAGGAGGTTCAGAGGCTGAATGGCCGCATAGCCGCTCTGAGCCACTTCATGTCCAAATCAGCAAATCACTGCTTGCCTTTCTTTAAGGCAATTAAAAGCAAAGGCTTTGAATGGA